GCCATACTGGGAGATGTTCTCGAGTGAGCACGAAAAATCAAGATCCTAGAGCAACAACGGCCAATATAACTCGCTCAACCACAAGCTTATTTACCAGTTTCAACATCGCTCTACTTTGATTGGTTATTTAAGATCATTTAGAAGGTTATTCACATAATATCTGGTACAGGGTTAACTTTATCCTACTTCTTACGCATTACCTCTCTTTTCGCTTCAACATGTAAACTCTTTTATTGATCAAAAAAAAACTTTCCGTAATAAGAAAATATTTATCTAAGTAGTTGTTCTACATCTAGCTTATCACTAACCTACCTCTTCATTAATCTTTTTTATATGATCTGCAAACACCTGACGTTCAGTTTTCAAAGCTTCCAACTCTTGAGTTATATTTGGTTGTGTTAATTTGCCTGATAATAAATTGTCATACGTCTTTTCTTGATATAAAAGCTGAATAAATAGATGGGAAACACACAAACACACACACAATCAGAAATATAAAATACTCATAATAATAATAATTTATGTAAATAAAGTTTCATTTTCATTGATACTCACTATCTTATGTAATATTGTGATGAACGCTGTCTGCAAGCCAAAATTGCAGACAACAATTTACGTTAATTGCATGGAGGATTTTATCATCATGAACTGACATCAGTTAGAGAACCACTGGAAAACCTACGGGGAGTATTGGACAGCTGTTTCGTCAGCCTAGTTTGGGACTCTTCAGCAGTACGCACCCACCGGGGTTCAAACCCAGGACCTTCAGGTTAAAAGGCTCAATGGCCTACTTGGGAAGTACCATCAGCCAATGCCAACGGGTTGATCTCCGACGAAATCTCAGCACGAATACAGAGGGCTAGTTTCGCATGTGCCAGTTTACGCCGCCTCTGGCGTAGACGTGATATCCCACTATCAACCAAAGGACGTGTGTGTGTACTGCTCAACAGTCTGCTCCGCCCTCCTGTATAGCTATGAGACCTGACCATTGAGAGTGGAAGACATGAAAAGATTGGCTGTCTTCGATCATAGGTGTCTGCGTTCTATCTCCCGTGTGAAGTGGTAGGTGTAATAGGGTGAGCAATATTGAGGTTAGGCATCGAGTGCTAGGTAAGTAGGGGAAATCAGTCGACGAGGCTGTGAAATTACATCGACTGAGATGGTTAGGACATGTGCTACGTATGCCTAGTCATCGCCTTCCTCGACGGTCAATGTTAGCTGACATAGGGTCAGGTTGGAAAAGAGCTAGAGGCGGTCAAACCAAAACATGGCACCAGTCAATGAAATCCACAACAGTTAGTTTAAGCCAGTCACGTAGGAAGGTGTAAACTGGCTTCGTGACTGGTTGAGTCCTCGGGACGGTAAAATCCAATAGTTGGAAACAATTGGTGATATGGCTCGAAATCGTTCTCAATGGCTGGCGCAGATGTATCCACTCCTTGTGGCTTATGATTTTCAATGAAACTGTTTTGTTCTTCGTTATTACTATTCCTTTGTCTCACACGTCTGTTTGCTGTCTCTAATATGCATTTCTTCTACTTTCTTCTCTTGCTTTGTGTGCTACATGGAGGGAGTGTGGCGACTTGAACTGCCGCACATATGTGCAAAGTTCTATGTCAAAATCCGACCGAGCGACCGAATGGCCTACGAGTACGCAGATAGATGGCTTAACTTTCTGAGTAAAGGTCTCAAGCGATACAGAATGACATTCAGCAAGAAAGCAACCAATCAGAAGAAGTTGCTTCTCTGCTAACAATAACGCTAGTAACAAAGTGCATATAAATCTGTGAATACCTGTTGATTTTCTCAATAAACGATTTGTTTCCTGTCCCTTGTCTTCTGTCGCTACAATTTAGAACATGATTTTGCAAAGTTTTCAAAATTCTTCCAGTAGTTTCAATGCTTTTTGAGACTAAGATTTTATTGACAGACGTCTCGACATCAGTCAAGACGCGCTATATTTAGTGCTACTTCATCTGAAATTGAATGTATTGCATTTGCATATACTAATCTTTTGGTAATTTCTTCAGAATCCTTATAGCATGTCTTTTATTATTGTGTAGATGATGCTCCTTTGACCTTTTTAATATTCTGCCAACTTGCAGTCGTCTTTTTAGTCTGCATTTTGAAGATATCGTGAGGGAATAACCAAGGGATATCTTCGAATAGAAATAATCGATATCTTGGAGGGGTAATCTCTCGAAGTGAATATCACTGGAATTGAGACTACTAAGGGAGAATCAAATGAGTCTTAATGTAGTAGTGGCCAAATTAAACTTTAAGCACCAGTAACTACCAATGGAGTGCGACCGCACCAATGACCTTGAAACGCCCACTGAGCAAGTTAGTGAAATCCGGCAAATAATGTTGTCATCATCAATAAAATACGCTGATTGGAGTGTTATTTTATTAAATGTGTGTCGATGGCACAGTGGTTAGGACGCTCACCGACCATGCACATGGTCCGGGGCTCGATCCCCTGCCAACGCACACCTGATATCAATTGGTCAGCCTGCTAAATTTAGGCTACCGATATCACATGCTGAAAATTCCATACTTGTACGAAAAATAGTGTGTGGAATCAAGCTGTAATAAAAAAGGGTTATCTGGCAAGTTTCAGCTTAGGTTTCGGAAAGATTAAGTTACTCTTTAAGCCAAGGACAAGTTAGGCTTAGGTTAACCTAACAAAGACGACAGTATGTTTTGTGTCGAGTTAGATTACAGTTAGTTTAGAGATATTTTCATGTTTCGGTTAGGTTCAGAAAAGATAAGCGTCGGTTATTGTTAGGGTTAGAAGACCTAAATACTTGTATGCACAGAATGTGGTTGAATTTCTCTATTGATATAAGTATAGAACTTGTGCACTGTGGTGGTAGAGTATAATTCCATTGTGGGTAAAATTTATTTTCATAAAGTCTCACAGTGGTGTTATACAGTAAGTAATATTTACTGATGACGACGTTTCGAGTACAATTTATTGCCCAGTAAATATTACTGTATTACACTGAGACTTTATCAAAATAAATTTTACCCCGCAGTGGAATTATACTCTGTTGATACTCCAACCTAAAACTGAGAGCTATTTGTATCCTCTGTAACACTTTTCTACAGTTTTTATGTATTTTTTTCATAAATATATGTATTCCGTATACAAAAATGCTTCCTTCACGTGATTGGTGCGTTCGAGGTCATTCGCTGATTGGTAGTTAGTTAGTGGTGCTTAAAGTTTAACTTTGCCCTCAGAGGTCAATCTCCTTTGATTCTCTGCAATACATGTATATGCTTCAGAGAAAAGTAGATAAAAGTGAAGGAAAGGATTGTAATGAACCTACAATGAGTGAAGAAGTACTTTAGACAGAGAGAGAGAGCGAAGAATATTCTTTTCGATAATTTCCTCTTCTGGCTCTACAATTATATATATACTTATATACATAGAATATTCTAGAATAGTAGTCAATAACAATATTAGCGTTTTTTAAATAATATCAATTTGTGAAGTAAGATCAATGGAATTGCCACAGTTCATTAAAGATGCTTAAATTATAATAATAATAATAAAGATATAATAGCGAATAGAATATCAACTGAAATTAGGGAAATTTCACAAAAATTTCTGATTATTCAAACCTGGATGGCCAAGGTAATGATAATGTCTAAACTAACTTCTTTTGGATGCATAAATTAGGCTTGTTAATATGGATCCCCACAGCCTCAGCAATATGTGTAATAGTCGAACTCTTAAAGCAAAATTGAGATTCGTTGGTATGCGGTAAATGACCCTGAAAGTATGGTTAACGTCAATCTTGTGTTCTGTCTCCACAAGATGAGACAGAATAGCGCTGAGAATAGATTTTGTTTGTCCTTTGCTTAACCACGCAGGGTGATGTTCGGAAATTCGATGAGAAACACGCCTAATTGTACGGCCTATGTTACTGGCTCACTCCACAGGAGCAGTTAAATTGGTAGATACACATGGAAGAGGCGAAATTAGGCAGTTTGTCTTTTATTCCCGAATTCAGAAGACGAGTGGTTTTAAAGATGCAGCGTAATTCAGCAGCGTGGAGTGCTCTTTCTACCGCATTTGTTATTGTTGTTACTTATTGTTATTAACCACTAATTTAAAATATTCTATGTATATAAACATATAGATAATTGTAGAGCCGGAAGAGGAATTTATCGGAAAGAATATTCTTTGCTCGATTATTTTGTGTTTTAGAAAGAGAGCACACTTAAAGGATGACTAGTAAGGAGTTTTAGAATCTGAATAGTGAGTGATAAGCAATAATTTCATCAATCACCTTGAATCACTGAATCCTAGCAACCCAAGTATCCCAGAAAAACAGTCTACGCACTTATTTAGATAGCTCAAAATAAGCTGTGAGTATTCCCTTGGGTTCCAAGTGGAACATATGGCTTCAACTGCTCATCTCCACTTTGTTCTGTTTTCCGCAGTCCTTTTGAGCTGGCCCCACGATCTCCTCAGTGTCACTCTCAGACACACACCCAACTCATCGTTTCCCACATGAGCTGCACTCGAGCGATGCCGATAAGTGCGGTGTCACCCGATGGTCTCCTCAGCGTATTTCTGATCCATTTCTATCTTCATGGATTATAAAGCGTTACAAAAAATGTGTATAAGAATTCGTAATCATTAGGAAGTGTATACACTTAAACTACTGATATGAATCAAGATAATAGTTAGAAATTTGATAACAGTATCTTGATCTTCTCAATAGACAACTGGTGTCCCATGAATATGCAATCTTTTATCAATATTCGTATGAAGCAACCTTTTCATACCAGTTAGTCAGTTGAAATTCTGCATATCCAGTTATTTGTAAAAGTGTAACGACAGAAGACAAGGCAAAGGAAACATCGTTTATTGAGAAAATCGACAGATATTTATAGATTTTTATGCACATTATTAGTAGAGAAGCAACCTCTTCTGATTGGTTGTTTTCTTGCTGAAGGTTATTCTGTACTGCTTGTGACCGTTGTTTACATAGTTATCCATATATCTGCGAATCTTATTTGCACATGTTAAGTCTGCTGTGATTGGTCGGTGAGTTCCTCAAGGTTAGTCTTTGTTATTGTATTTTCTCATGACCCCGATTTGGGACGTGAACATTGACGTAAATTGTTGCCTACAATTTCGGCTAGCAGACAGTTCTCACCACAAAAGTACTCGAAAATCCAGTAAAATAAGAACCTGTAGTAGTTTGAAAAATCACCAGTTTCATCTGTTTAGACAACCTTAAATTGTTTAGGTGCTGTCCTCGACTTAAGAAAAATTGCTTGGAGTCTCATCACGAGCTGACATCAGTTAGAGAACCGTTGGAAAACCGGGGAGTACTACAGAGCTGCTTCATCCTAGTTTGGAACTCTTCAAGAGTAGGCACCCACCGGAAGGGTTCGAATCCAGGACCTTTTAGTTAAAAGGTAAGCTTCCTTCGACACACTGATACTCTGATTCTGCGAAGCTTTGCATCTTCAAGCTGAAAATGTATGGTGATTTTCCATGTTCCTTTATCTCTGCCTCTGTGGAATTGCTTCCATCTGGTGGCATCATCATTTAAGCGGTTCTAAGGTTTGGCAGTGTATGTTTAGGTATGGTGGCGATAGTCTTTCAATAAGTGTCGTCATTTTGGAATAGCGGCTTCTGTGGCTTGTATATGTACTGCGGTTGTCATTACACCGGCTTCTACACTGTTTACTAACCCTGGGAGTAGATGAAAAAAGTGAAGGGATAATTAGTCTGTGAAGTGGCCCTATAAAATGAAAGGTTGTTGTGGTACGCCAGTTTCTATAATTGCATCATGATTCCCTGGGTGAGATCCAAGAGACAATCCTAGTCACTAGCTCGAGACATCAACAAGTATGACCAAGAATCGTAATCAATGGAGAATAAGACAGCAATTTCTTCCTTTGCTCTCTTTCTGAAAGTAACCAGGGGTAATGAATGCCCCTTACATGTCTGTTTTCTTGATGTTATTCCTTAGTTATCCTGTTTCTCTTCCACATACTGTGTCCCATAGCTTTTTGTGTAGCACCTCTCTGGGCGCCTTTATCCTATCAAGTTTATATCGAAATAGATAAACATTATTGATTCATTTTGATCACGGATCGATATCAGTTAAAGAACCACTGAAAACGAGGGAGCACTGAACAACTCTTTCCCTCTAGTTGGGGACTCCCCAGCAGTACTCAACCTCCGGGTTTCCAACTCAGGAGCTTCCAGTTACAAGCCAGGCTCGTACTCCATTCAGCCACTGAGACCCCACTCAGCGGCCGACCAACGAATTCTAACTTCTACCATTTCGTAATTTTAGCGCGACTGGCACCAGTCAATATCATCGGTGGCGAGTATTTGTCCTCACACCCAACCTTATGGACCCTAACTGGTCACGACTTCTAACTAGAACTCCAGAAAACTCCATCCTTTAGCCAGTCACTAGCCAGCATCAGTTACAAAAGCGCAAAAAAACAGAAATAAGATAAGATTTAACAATCATGCATACAAGTGATTAAAAATTTCGCATAGTTTATACAATAAAAATGAAGGTTTATACAGTTTCTTTTCAAAAAGCACCTTGATTGCCTTCAGGACTTCTGATTTCGTCGGGGGGTTGGTGTTCACTGGTAGTTCTGTCTCCGTCGTTGGTATTGTTGGGCGCGTTGTAGGTGGTGGTCGATTTAGGAGTCTTTTGAAGTGTTCAGCCCAGTGTTTCCTTTGCTCCACTTCTTTGGTGATTGACTTTCCATTGTCATCCTTCACCGGCTTAGTTTGTGTCAAACTTTTCCCTGATAGGTGCCTAGTTGTTTGGTAGAGTGTTGCGAGATCTCCTTTGCCTGCAGCTTGTTCTGCTTCACTTGCCATGGTTTCATAATACTTTCTTTTGTCTTCTCTGGCACTCTTCTTTACTCTTTTGTTCAGTCTCTTGTAGTTTGCATTCAAATCCTGTTTTTGTTGCTCGTCAGTGCACTGGAGAATCTTTTGTTTCACCATCCTTCTCTCTTCTATTAGTTTCCAAGTGTCCGTAGTGAGCCATTGTTTGTCCTGTCTCTTCTTTCTGCCTAGAACTTCCATGCAGGTTTCGCTCCATACCGCTTTCAGGTTGTTCCAGTGCTTTCCGACGCTGACCTCTTCGCCAGTGTTGATTTGTGTCTCGGCTTTGTCTTTTATGGTTGCAGTGAAGATGTCCTTTGTGTCCTGGTCCTTCAGTTTTTGAGTGTTGAACTTGACTTGTGGTCTATCTGCAGCTCCTGATTCTCTGAAAGCTTTTAATTTGAGTTGGATTGTCCCTTGTACGAGATAGTGGTCTGAGCCAACTAGAAACAACCTCTTTTACCTACCTGGGAAGCATCATTTCAACTACGGGAAGACGGAACTGACGAGGATATCAAAGCAAGAATCGGAAAAGCAAGACAAGCTTTCATTACTCTCAACCCTTTTTTAGGTCAACAGCATTCATCATCAAAAATAACATCCGGATTTTCAACTCCAGTGTGAAGTCAGTGCTACTCACTATACGGATCAGAGACTTGCATTGCGCGTCATAAAGAGCATCTCTTACAAACTACAGACCTTCATTAACAGCTGTCTCCGCTCAATACTCAAGATCAAATGGCCGGCCAGAAAAGATCAGCAACAGAGATATCTGGGAGCGAACCAACCGAGCAGGAACCGATTGCGAAACAAATAGGCAGGAGGAAATGGAGATGGATTGGCTGGCCATACTCTGAGGAAACCATCAAGTGACATCACTAGATAAACCATCACTCGACTGGAACCTGAAAGGGAACCGGCGAGTCGGTCGTCAGTGCGAAGGTGTGGTGACTTGGAGGAGGTGATGTGAAGAGGAGATGAAAGCGTGTGGGCAGACTTGGAGCCAGGTGAAGACTCTGGCAGAGAACCGAACGTAATGGAGACGCACGGCTGAAGCCCTATGTTCCTCTAGGAATTAAAGGAAACAATAATGATAATAATAATACAGTTTCTTTTCACATACTTGTCTTTGAAGTTTTTCATTCTCTGTTGACTTCAGTTGTAAATCTTGTCTTAATAAAGCATTCATATGCGTTAATTCCTTTTCTCTTTGTTTCAGTCGATTCAATTCAGCAATATCTTCAGTTTGTTTTAATTGACCACGTTCAAACATGGATTGAGACTTAATTTCAGTTGAAAGAAAAATAAGAAGAGTATTAATCGGTTAGTTAAATTATTTAAACAATATATATGCCGATGATCTAACTATTTCAATGTCTGTTAACTCCCAGCTTGACTGCACTAAGATAAACAACTTTCTATCAGGAATTAGCAAATGGTCTTCATCTAACGGCCTTAAACTAAATCCTTCCAAATGTCAGACTGTTAATTTCAGTTTCCGATGTAAACGAAGGTTAAATGAAGCCATCGGTTCCTATGACCCTTGCAAAATCGATGATACTGATATAGAAATCAAGTCTGAAGTTAAGTATCTTGGATTAATTCTCTCTTCTGACCTATCCTGGTCCTCCCATGTCTTAGCGATTTCTAAAAGAATATTTCGTTTGACTTTTTACATTAAGAAGTTAAGGCACTCAGGCATAACCCAACCACTCCTCTTACAGTTTATCAACTCGTGTATTTTACCTATTCTTCTTTACTGTTCACCCTTATTCTTTATTGGATTGCTTAAAAAGGACTATATCATACTTCGTAGAACTCTGAAGACTGTCAGTAGGACGAGTGGTATCCCATTGGGCCATATCGTTGACATCATCAATGACGATGGGCACTTGATATCATGCAACAAATTTGTTAAGGGAATTTCGTCAGACTGTGAGCATACACTTTACCAGCAGCTCCGACCTTGTGTCTCCTCAGGTAAAACAAGAAGTCTTTTCAGAAGACTTTATGCACGTACATCTAAGTATAAAAATTCCACTATACCATATTTAGCACGTACTTTATGTGATGAAAATAGTGTCAGACTTGAACTAACTAACCTTCTTAGCACCACTAAATAAACCATTTCCTTCACCCTTAAAGCATCAAACTTTATTGTTATTGTATTTCTTATATATATAATCCCCTCAATTTTTCGTTTTGTTTATTTTTTTTCATAAGTATGAGCATCATTTAAGCTGTGTTATAACTGTTAAATTTGCCTTTCCCTTCACTATACTATATCAACAAAACATTAGATCCAATAATCTATAACATGCTAAAGTTTCCAAACTGAATCGACAATACCGTTTGAAGCAAACTCACTATTATTATTATTATATTTAATAATCTCAATTCATGCTTTGAACATTTTTGACTTTATGTCGTAAATGTGGACAAATTCCTCTGGTTAATTTTGTTTTAATTTTATTTATATTTTGAGTAAATCAGATGCAATATTGTGACAAATATTGAGAATTCCATTCTGTATTATAAGTACTGTTTTTGAAATAAAGTAGATTATTATTATTATTAATAAAGCTTTTCTTGTATTTCCCAATGAATGAATGAAAAACAAAGCGATATTGTTGTTTTTAATGACGTTTCGCTATTCAGCGCTGCTAATACCTTTATCAAAGTAGTGATATTAAACCAAAATTGACAAAATCCACTCAGCTTATATTAAGAAACAACTTAATCATCGTTCCTCAGAATGAAGTCAATTTTGCGTTGTCAAGTTGGTCAATTGGTGTGAAGATAACAAAACCATGTGTAGATGACTGTTGGATTTGATAAGTGTGTAAAATTACAAAAGCAGCATGTGTTTACACAACGAAATTGCTGATCACATTCGTGTTGATTTTGTCATTTCATGGGTGAGGAGGGGGTTGTTGTGGCCACGTCAAATTCTGTTTCCGTTCATCATTCCTATTCAGATAACTTGGATCCCATTTGATCATATGAAGTGCTTCTGATGATATCAGACGCTCTTTGTGATTTCTGAAATGCTTTTTCTGGATGATTATTTCAATATTTTCAAAATCAATTTTGTACCCTGATTCTATAGCTGGTGATTCCCCAAGCTTTTCATATTCAACCGGATTTCTTGGTGATCGAACAGATGCTCTACGATGTTCATTTCTTCCGATTTTGATTTTTGTCTAGCAATGTTTGTCTGAAGTATATCGCATCACATTCCAAGCATTTTATTTTATAGACACAATCAGATTGGGAATCTTTAGGGATTTAGTCTTTTATATGGACAAGGTTGCTTTGCAGTGTGCGTGTCTGATGCTTTGAAGAAAACTCTGATGTCGTGCTTACTAAATACTCTTCTGATATCGTGTGACGTCTCCGCTCTACATAGAATATACATTGCACTGATTAAGGCACTCTACTCGTACTCATGCAGCCAGGTGAGAGCTTATGGCGAGTTGTCATCTGAAGTGGTGACGACTAGTGGCGTCCGTGAAGGATGCCCATTATCCCCATTTCCATTCAATTTCATCATAGACGTACTAATGGACTTAACCCTAACTCACTTCAGCGACTCAGGGATTGAATTGCTACCAGGGAATAATCTCGTTGACTTAGACTATGCAGACGATATAGTCCTCCCATGTGAAAACGCTGACAAAATGCAGAGTCTTCTGAACAGTCTAAGAATGTTTAGCTTGCTATTCGCTCCCACCAAATGCAAGATGATGTTACAAGATTGGACTACACCGACTACACCTAGATTAGAAATAGGAAGTGAAGTGGTAGAGCACGTTGATCGCTTCACTGACTTGGGAAGTACCATTAGCTAGTGCCAACGGGTTGATCTCCGACGAAATCTCAGCTGAGTACGGATACAGAGTGCTAGTTTCGCATATATCAGTTTACGCCGTCTCTGGCGTAGACATGACATCCGACTATCGACCAAAGGACGTTTGTACTGCTCATCAGTAGTTCTCTCCATCTTCCTTTATGGCTGTCGGTGAGACATGGCCTTTGTAAGTGGAAGACATGAAAAGGCTGGCTAGCTGTCTTTGATCATCGGTGTCCGCATTCTATCTCCCGAGTGAAGTGGTATAATAGGGTGAGCAATATTGAGGTTAGGCGTCGAGTGCTAGGCGAGGAGGGAGGGGAAATCAATCGACGAGGCTGTGAAGTTAAACCGACTGAGATGGTTAGGACATGTGTTACGCATGCCTAGTCATCGCCTTCCTCGACGGGCAATATTAGCTGATATACGGTCAGGCTGGAAAAGAGCTAGCGGCGGTCAAACCAAAACATGCCTTCACCAGTCAATGAAATCTACAACAATTGGTCTAAGTCAGTCACGTAGGAAGGTGTAGACTTCCTGACTGGTTGGGGTCCTCGGGACGGTAAACACCAATGGTTGGAAACAATTGGTGATATGGCTCAAAATCGTTCTCAATGGCTGGCGCAGATGCATCCACTCCTTGTGACTTATGATTTCCAATGAAACTGTTTTGTTCTCCGTTATTACTATTCCTTTTTCTCACACCTCTGTTTACTGTCTCTAATATGCATTTCTCCTACTTTCTTCTTCTTGCTTTGTGTGCTACAAGGAGGGAGTGTGGCGACTTGAACTGCCGCACATATGTGCAAAGTTCTATGTCGAAAACAGAACAGAACATAGAATGACGACTGTTGAGGTCCATTTTTTCGGAATACGTTTTCAACCATATTTAATGTTAGTGTTGATTTCGCTGATGAAGTTCTTTTGGTAGTTGTTTTGCTTGACAGTCTCAGTAATGTTTGATATTTCTTCTTCTTTTTCTTTCTCAAAGAGTGTGCTCGTCAAATAAGACTTGAATCAACTGATATCTTTGCTCTGATTGGGTGTGATGATCCGAAGTCTAAATATGTGTTGTTGGAGTGGGTTTTCTTCCCGAATATACATATACTAAAATGTCCGTTTTCCCTCCTCTTAACTAGGCAGGCAGTCTATAAATGATAGATCATCGACGTCTAATTCTGCTTCCGAGGTAGACTGGATTCAATGTTCAGTGATATCTACACTAGATTATATTCTTCTACATATGATATACTACGTTTTAATAAAGTGTGATCATTATATTTGCTTTACGTAATGTCATTTTCTGCTCTATATGTTTTTCATATAAATACATTAATTATTATTAAAAGTTTTCGTGTAATTCCCAATGAATGAGTGAAAAAAAACGATATTGTTGTTTTCACTGACGTTTCACTACCTAATACTGCTAATAGCTTTATCAAAGTAGTAATAATAAACCAGAATTTACTAAATCTCAGCTTATATATATGTATATTGGTTGGAGGATTTCATCATGAAATTATGTTGTTTCATGTAATTGGGTCAACAGGGTCGTTTAACTTATAGAGCTTGTCCTACTTGGATGAGTTTGCACGTTTAAATGCCACTGTAATTCCTGCTTTATTAAGAATCCCAAGTAGGATCTCAAATGTCCCCTCCTTATATGCTAAAACTGTAGATGCCTTATATTCTCTCTTATTTATGTTATTGTCATTACTAGTTTCACCACTATTTTTATTTTGCTTCTGACCTTTTTGATATTCCTAATGAGTTTTATAAGATATTTATTTAACACCAATAATTTGTGCTCGAAACGTCATCAATAAATAGTACTGTGTAACACAGTGTGATTTAATCGAAATAAAATCTTGTCCATAATGGAGTTATATTCTACTACAGTGCCCAAGTTTTATACTTATATCAATAATAATATGAGCATTGATGGTTCAGGGGTAGGTAGAATGCTGACCAAATACGCACGTAGCTGAGTTTCGATTCTCGGTTGACGCACAACTAAACCTCTCCTAGCAGATAGTAATCCTGGTAACAACGAACGCTTTAGTGTGAGATTTGCAGCCGTCTTCCGTGAAGATAACACCATCATTACTGGGACTTAATAGTTGAAAGATTGAGGCCCTATGCCCCCCTCGGAACACAAATAAATGATTAGAAAATGATACAAATACCACTCATCAAAAATATTATACATTGGGATGACACTTAAATCCTTTCAAGGTTGCTGTGTGCCTTAATTTAAACATTACCATTCCAGTTAAGATTAATCATGCTAAAATACAGGTTTAAAATGAAATAAAAATGTGACTATTTTGTGTTTACTAGTTCCCAGTCGAACATAGGGTTTCAAGCTGGAGGCTTGAAGTTTCTGTAGCAGTGATATTTATTTTTACAGGATGGGTTGCTAGTCTCATGCCCGACCTTTCCTCTTCACCAGCTTTATTTCTAGCCTAGTGAGGTAAAGGAGTGCTTCCATGACCGGGGATCGAACCTTGGACCATGTGCATGGTCGGCGAGCGTCCTAACCGCTGTGCCACCGATCCACTGAAGCAGAATATAGAAAGCATAAAAATATGAAGAAAAAAGAAGCAGAATGTGAATAAGTCTTACAGATTTGCAATTAATAGTGTTCTCTGAGCTGGTTGGTTTAGTTGCGGAGCTTTCGTCGTCCTTCTGGACAACATCTTCAGCCCAACATAACGTACGCAGACTTTTGGTTTAATTATGTGTAGAGCTATTAATTCTAATTTTTGCATGACGGCTTCAGCTATTAATCCTGATTTTAAACACTTTTTGATGAAATTTTATGCTAAAAATTGCGCTGAAGATGTTGTCCAGATGGACGACGAAAGCTCCGCAACTAAACCAACCAGCTCAGAGAACACTATTAACTGCAAATCTTCTCTATTATTTCAAAGTCTTACAGAATTTAAGTTCCATCGTAAGATTTTCATATCTCACTATTATTTGACATTATTTCGCTAAATCAACCATTCTGCTAACATACCAAATACCACTTCCTGAGTCATTGGTTCTGTGACAGAATGTTCGCCAACTACACAGGCTGTCCAAGGTTCAACTACCAGCCTGTGGACTCCTAAACGTTGTCTGGTTTACTAACCGGAAAAGAGGAAACGTAGGGAGTGAGGTTAGCATCCCCATCCCGCAGAAGAATTTCACTTCTACTGATGCCTAAAAGTCAGACGTCCCACTTGGAAGACATTGAATAAGGAAAAGCCAAATATCACGAAGCATGGAATGGCAATCAAACCTCTACCTCAACTTTATAGACTTTGAGAAGGCCTTCGACAGTGAAGCGTTGACCGCGAAGTAATTTGGAAACTACTCGAGTACTACGGCGTACCCCAAATATTCATCAACCTCATGCAACAGCTGTACGACAACGGCACGTGTCAAGTGATCCACAACGGAAAACTCAGCGAGGCGTTTGGATTAAACACAGGAGTCAGACAAGGATGCTTATTATCACCAATGATATTCCCAATTGTGGTGGACTCGATTATGCATCAGACAGTGGGAAACGAGAAGACAGGGATATCCTGGACCGACGTGAATAACCTAGAAGACTTGGATTTCGCGCGTGGATGATTTATGTTTGATGTCACACAAAATCGAAGACTTACAAGCAAAAGTTGACAAACTGGTCAAAGAAGCAGCAAAGACAGGACTCCAGGTGAACATAGACAAGACAGAGGTTATGAAAATAACCAACAGACAACAACAAGAACAGCTGCAACGTCCAGCGGCAATCACCATCAACGGGAGGGATTTGAAAGAGGTCAAATCGAGAATCCGGAAGGTGAGAAACACATTCATCCACCTGAAACCAATCTGGAAATCTTCGTCACACAACTCAGCATCAACAACAAAATTCGGATTTTCAATACAAACGTCAAGTCAGTCAGTTCTTCCATACGGATCAGAAACTTGGCCAGTGTGTCACAAAGAATATTTCCAACAGCCTGCTGCAGACCTTTATCAACAACTGTCTTCGCTGGCTCTATACTGAAGATCAGATGGCCGGAAAGAATCACCAACAAGAAACTGTGGGAACAAACAAAACAGGAACTAATCGCTCAACAAAGCAGTTTAAAAAGAACTAACTGCGGATCCTGAACTCAATCATAGGAAAAGCTGTCCATTGAAGAAATTATTTTAAGGATTCAGCTATGCCTCACATCTACTATATTTAAATTCCAAATCAGTAAATATTACTGTATAACACTATGAGACTCTATCAAAATAAAATTTACCCATCATGGAATTACACTCTACCCCAGTGCCCAAGTTTTATTCTTATATCAAATATACAGAAGAAAGTGGAGATGGATTGGACACTTGCTGAGGAGGCCGTTGGGTGACATCGCGCGTCAGGCCATAGCTCGAGTGGAACCCGAAAGGGAAGCGGTGAGTGGGACGTCTAACGAGGGTGACATAGAGGAGATCGTGCTAAGAGGAGCTGGAACAGTATGGACTAACATGGATGTAAGTGAAAAGTACGGCAGAAGAGAGAAAGAAGTGGAGACGTGCAGTTGAAGCCCTATGTTCTTCTAGGTACCCCAGGGGAACAATAATAATAAATATTATGGTGTCCCGCTGTTACAAATGTCGCCATTATCGTTATTATTATTATTATTTAAGAAATCAAAATGTAGCAATTAAACAAACTTACTTCTTCAGCCATTTTTCTCAACTTTTCTAATTCATTACTTAAGTAAACATTTTCTTTCAAGAGTAAATCATTCCTATCGATTTGTTTATCTTTGATATATTGATCATTTTCTGATTTTAAAAAGGCATCACTTAGCTTCTGTTCAAGATGACGTACTTTATCCTGTTTTTTATTCATTGGTATAAAGAAAAGAAGACAAATAAAATAAAATATAACAAGCTGGCTACATAGATTAACCAACGTTCACAGTATGTTAAAGCCATCTGACTCTCTCACAATATCTACCCCGGGTTGGACTTTAAGACAATATCCCTTAAGACAGCTTCCATTATAGGTAAATTTTATTTTGATAGAGTCTCACAGTGTTATACAGTAATATTTATTGATCAGTAAATATTACTGTATAACACTGTGAGACTCTATCAAAATAAAATTTACCTATAATGGAATTACACTCTACCACAGTGCCCAAGTTTTATTCTTATACCTTAAGACAGCTATCTTCATAATAGCTCCTAGGGTCGTGTAGTTAAATGTCTACTGATTTCAAGCCGTTTGAATGAGACAGTCTCGCAAATAACTGATTCAGCGTGCGTGTGTGTATACCGGTTTACCCGCTTTCATATATAGCCAGGTATACAAAGTGTTGTATACACATCCTTTCGAAAGGTGTTGAAGAACACACTACTATCATCAATGATTTTCCTGATTTCAGTAGGTTGAATAATGCGACAAACAGCGAGCAATGAGGAAACAGGAATAAAATGGACTCACACAAAAAGCTTGGAGGACCTGGACTTCACCGATGATATATGTCTGATTTCCCACAAACTGAAGGATATGCAAGCGAAAAGCAACAAGTTGGCAGAAGAAGCATCCAGAGAAGATAGGACTTCAGGTGAACCTAGAGAAAACAGAGGTGATGAAAATTCCTGGTCAACACCACCAACACCTGCAACAACAACAGAAAACGATCAGCATAAATGGATGGAACCTGAAAGAGACAACCTCCTCTACCACCTACCTACCTGGGAAGCATCGTTTCAACTACAGGCTGATGGAACTGACGAGGATATCAAAGCAAGAATCGGAAAAGCAAGACAAGCTTTCACTACTCTCAAGTCTGTGTGAAGGTTAACAGCACCACTTAGCATCAAAAATAAGATCCGGATTTTCAACTCCAATGTGAAGTCAGTGCTACTCACTATACGGATCAGAGACTTGCATTGCGCGTCATAAAGAGCATCTCAAACAAACTACAGACCTTCATTAAAATTTGTTTTCGCTCAATACTGAAGATCAGATGGCCAGAAGAGATCAGCAACAGAGATCTCTGGCAATGAGCGAACCAACCCAGCAGGAACCGATTGTCAAAAATAATAGGCCATACTCTGAGGAAACCATCAAGTGACATCACTAGACAAGCCATCACTCGAGCGGAACCTGAATGGGAATCGGCGAGTTGGTCGTCAGTGCGAAGGTGGGGTGACTTGGAGGAGGTGATGTGAAGAGGAGATGAAAACGTGTGGACAGACTTGGAGCCAAGTGAAGACTCTGGCAGAGAACCGAACGCACTGGGGACGCACGGCTGAAGCCCTATGTTTCTCTAGGAATTAAAGGAAACAATAATAATCGTAATCATATACCCAATGTTAAAATATTTTCAAACTGTTAAAAAGTGAACTTGGTTTGGACATATATATATATAATTCTATTTACTGAAGCCAGTTTGAAAATATTCTGCACTTCACTGAGCATAAAGAACAAGATTCGCATTTTCAACACTAATGTCAAGTCTTTCTATACTGGTCAGAAACTTGACAGGTGTGTCGCGAAAAGGATTTCCAACAGGCCACTGCAGACTTTCATCAACAACTGTCTTCACTAGATCCATATTGAAGAACAAGAAACTCTTTAGTGGGAAAAACCCACGAAGAACGGAATGTCCAACAAATATGTAGGAGAAAATGGAGATGGATGGGGTATACAATGAGGAAACCATCAAATGACATCACGTGCAATGCAGGCCACGGCTCGAGTGGAATCCAAATGGGAAGCAGTGAGTGGATTGTCGGTGGGAGGGTTACATGGAGGAGATTTTTCGAGGAAGAGATGAGAGATTAAGGGTAATCATGGGCCAAGCTGATGAAGAGGACAACAGAATATAGAAGAAAGTGTAGATGTGTTGTTGAAGCCCCATGTTCCACTCGGAACTCAAGGGAACAATAATAATAGTAATAATAATATATATTTACTGAAGCGGAAAATAAAAAAAATACCTGTTCATTTCAAAAAACGGGATATATATATACATAAAATCCTTATTTACTCATAGAATGAAATCCTTTAAAGTCTGCTGCTGAAGATGATGACAATAAAAAGAAGACATTCTTACGACTTTATTCACGAATCAATATTTACCTTGAATTCATCTTGTGGCCTTGATTTTAATCGATTTAATTCTTGTTGATAGTGAGATTCCATATGTCTTAGAATTGTATTGAATTCAGCCAGTTCTTTACGGCTATCAATAAGCGATCTTTCCAATTCATTTGCCCGCTTTGTTTCATCATCTAACTATAGATTAGAAACCATAAATGTGAATAAATCAATAAATAAAAATAATCAAGGTTATATTTCAACCAGTTGAAGGTCAATGAGTTAGCTGTGAAGGATAAAACTGCTTAACAGTTAAGTCAACCAGTTTAAAGAACATAAACCAACTTAAAAGGTCTACGATTTCACCTTGTAGCTAGAAGGTCCAAGGTTCTAAACCCTGAGAGTTGGCACTGTTGAACAGTCCCAAACTAGAACTAGACAGCAGCTATCCAGTACTCTCTGGCTTTTCAGTGGTCAGCTGGCGAACAAACGTGTAATCTTTGTAAAAAATTATATTTGTAAAATCTCAGCGAGATTGAAATGAGTAGTTCCAACGTTCCGTTCGGCAATCTGGTCCGAACTTCTAGACACCATAATTTTGAAAATACGTCTAATCATAACCGTTTGAACAGACATGAAGGCATGATGTTAGCTGATGCATAGGAAATCCTCATTAATAAATAAAAAATAGATATGTATCACTAATTATTAATAATTGGTCAAAATTCTCGACCGTCCATATCTTCTTATGGTGACGTTAAGAAATGTTTTACAACTGTTTACCCACACACATATACACACTCTGTTTAAAGTGTTCAACAAAGGTAGACCAATATTTGTAAGTCCGGGGTCAAATTTTGATCACAGCTCATAAAAATTTTGTTTATTATACTTGTTGAATGACTCATGATTGGACAAAGTTTTTAAAAACAAGTGATGTTCCTTTTATACATAAACCTCTGTTATGTTAATTTCTATTAATTTCCCTGAAGAAGTTTGGACCAGATTGCCGAATGAAACGTCGGAATTACTCATTTCAATCTCGTCGAGATTTTAAAAATATAGTTTTTTACAAATGTGTACTTCTCACTCGGCGCCCAAATATTTTAGAACTATTCTGTCAAATCTTGACGACAGTTCATTTGAGACGTGTAATCAAATAAATCCTGCAAAACTAACATTCAAAATTAGATTTCTCAAGTTTTTAGATTCAGACCTATTGGCTGAATATGCCGTAGGCTGGCCTCTCATCCTGAAGGTCATGTGTGTTTACTTCGTTTAAGTCCTTAACTAAAACAAAACAACTGTTCAGTACTACTTGATTTTCATTGGCTGTTTAATTAATGTCGGTTCTTGCTGAAATCGATAGTGAAATTAAACAAAATACCTACAACCCAAAAATCGGATACGAGTGTTATTCAAAAACCAAGTTGAAATAAGTTACAGAAAAAATTTACACTAAATAGGGCTTTAACATTTTAGAAATTCATTTGAGTAGTATTCAGAATTTTGGGATAAATCAACTGTGTTTTAAAAAATCCAAAATATTTTTTAAAAAAAAGACATTTACTTATTTACATCATCTAATGTCACCGAAAATTCCTGGAGTAATTCAACATGAAAGGAAACTCTTCTTGTTAAACTACTATAATCAGGTAGAGAGAGATAATGCTCCCTGTTTCCATTTGAGTCTAAGTTTGCTCATAGAAGTTTGAAGAATCATGTTTTTCACTCCTGTACGTTCCCAGTGGAACATAGGACTTCAAGCTTCTTGGACTTTAAAGTTTCGGTAGCAGTGGTGATTATTATTTTTACAGGATGGGGTTGCTAGCCTCATGACCAACCTTTCCTCTTTACCAGTCTTATTACTGGCTTGGCGAGGTAAAGCAGTACGTTGGCGGGCAGGGATCGAACCTCGGACCACATGAGGCGTGGTCGGCGAGCATTATACCACTGTGCCACCGACACAGTGATGATGTCTTAACATATTATACGAAGACAAAGACGGATTAATAATGCGCTATGCAAAAATTCACAAACAACTTTCTATCAGGAATTAGCAAATGGTCTTCGTCTAACGGCCTTAAACTTAATCCTTCCAAATGTCAGACTGTTAATTCCAGTTTCCGATGTAAACGAAAGTTAAATGAAGCCTCTGGTTCCTATGACCCTTGCAAAATTGATGATACTGATATAGAAACCAAGTCTGAAGTTAATTATCTTGGATTAATTCTCTCTCCTGACCTATCCTGGTCCTCCCATCTCTTAGCGATTTCTAAAAGAATATTTCGTCTGACCTTTTACATCAAGAATTTAAGGCATTCAGGCATAACCCAACCACTCCTCTTACAGTTCATAAACTCGTGTATTTTACCTATTCTTCTTTACTGTTCACCCTTATTCTTTCCTGGATTGCTTAAAAAAGGCTATATCATACTCCGTAGAACTCTTAAGACTGTCAGTAGGACGAGTGGTATCCCATTGGGCCATATCGTTGACATTTTCACTGATAAGCACCTTATGTCATGCAACAAATTCCCTGAAGGAATTTCGTCATACTCTGAGCACCCACTCTACCGGCAGCTCCAACCTTGTGTCTCCTCAGGTAAACATGAAGTCTTTTCAGAAGACTTTATGCACGTACGTCTGAGTATAAAAATTCCACTATACCATATTTAGCACGTAGTTTATGTGATGAAAATAGTGTCAGACATGAACTAACTAACCTTCTCAGCACAACTAAATAAACTATTTCCTCTACCCTTACAACATCAAAGTTTATTGTTATTGTATTTCTTATATTTATAATCCTCTCAATTTTTTCGTTTTGTTTATTTTATTTTTCATAAGTGTGAACATCATTTAAGCTGTGTTATAACTGTTAATTTTGTATTTCCCCTCACTATACTATATCAACAGAACATTAGATGCAATAATCTATAACATGCTAAAGTTTCCAAACTGAATCGACAATACCGTTTGAAACAAACTCACTGTTATTATTATTTATTATTATTATATCTAATAATTATGTCGTAATGTGGACAAATTCCTCCGATTAGTTTTGTTTTAATTTTATTCATATTTTGAGTAAATCAGATGCAAGATTGTGACAAATACTGAGAATTCCATTCTGTATTATAGGTAATGTTTTTGAAATAAAGTAGATTATTATTATTAATAATTATTGCATCAGCATCAGATTCCCAATCTTGTGAATAACTTGAGAAAAAATATTCACTTTTTTGACAAATGCCATAATCATATGGTATTGAAATATCTTTGTATTGCTTTATTAGGCTGGAAATAAAATTCAAAGGTTGAGTTAACGCCTTTCTTTAACAGAAGATATCTCCTTTAATTGTGACATCTGCTTTTGCTTATTGAGTTTAGTAAGCATTATAAATTATCGAATTACATTTCTCAGAAATTTTTAACCTAGTTAGGTTGAAAGAAAGTGAAAATAAACTCCGTTGTCATTTTAATTACTAGTATTAGTGTGGCATATGTTAATGACAACTTTATAGAATTTGAGAAGGCCTTCGACAGTGCAGCGTAGACCGCGAAGTAATTCGGAAACTGCTCGAGTACTACGGCGTACCCCAAATATTCATCAACCTTATTCAGCAGCTGTACAACAACAACACATACCAACTGATCCACTACGGAAAACTCAGCGAGGCGTTTGGAGTAAACACAGGAGTCAGACAAGGATGCTTATTATCACCAATGATATTCCTAATTGTGGTGGACTGGATTATGCGTCGTCAGACAGTGGGAAACGAGAAGACAGGGATATCCTGGACCGACGTGAATAGCCTAGAAGACCTGGATTTCGCGCGTGGATGATTTATGTTTGATGTCACACAAAATCGAAGACTTACAAGCGAAAACCGACAAACTGGTCGAAGAGGCTGGCAGCAAAGACAGGACTCCAAGTGAACATAGACAAGACGGAGGTTATGAAAATAACCAACCAACAAAAGCAACAACAGCAGCAGCAACATCCACCGCCAATCACCATCAACGGGAGGGATTTGAAAGAGGTTACTTCATTCACTTATCTAGGGAGCATTGTCTCAACTACAGGAGGAACGGACGAGGATGTCAAATCGAGCGAGAATCGGGAAGGCGAGAAACACATTCATCAACCTGAAACCAATCTGGAAATCTTCGTCACTCACTCAGCCTGCATCAACAACAAAGTGATTCGGATTTTCAATACAAACGTCAAGTCAGTCAGTTCTTCTATACGGATCAGAAACTTGGCCAGTGTGTCACAAAGAATATTTCCAACAGCCTGTTGCAGACCTTTATCAACAACTGTCTTCGCTGTATACTGAAGATCAGATGGCCGGAAAGAATCACCAACAAGAAACTATGGGAACAAAAAAAAACAAGAACCAATCGCTCAACAAATATGCAGGAGAAAGTGGAGATGGATTGAACACTCACTGCTGAGGAGGCCGCTGGGTGACATCGCGCGTCAGGCCAGTGCTCGAGTGGAACCCGAAAGGGAAGCGGCGAGTGGGACGTCCAAGGGTGACATGGAGTAGATCGTGTGAAGAGGAGTTGAAACAGTATGGACTAATATGGATGCAGGTGAAAAGTACATCAGAAGACAGAAGCAAGTGGAGACGTGCAGTTGAAGCCCTATGTTCCACTAGGAACCCAAGGGAACAATAATAAAAATAATACATAAACAGACATTCATCAGCAGGCATAAAAATATCAAATAGCGGAGAGATAGATTTGACGTCATAGAGAGGAATTATACCAAAGTGGGAAGTGCATGGGAGACATGAAAAGAAGACAAAGAAATAAAATACGAAGCAGGGAAGGAAGTAGAACAACATGGGAGATCTGTGCGAATGACGATTTTGATATAAGTTGTACATAATTTCCCCATATGTGTATATAAGATTCCGTTACCAAGTCTCTTTTCTCCCCCATTACATTTGGTGTCGCCGCTCCCAGAAAATGAAGATCCCATGGCCTGCTCCTTCCGAAGAAGGAGACATAAGGAGCTTCTTAAGTGACTTCGATGCTGACGCTGGGTTAGTGGGAATCAGTGACCTGACAGCGAAAGCGTGGCGCCGGGGACGCTGTTGAGAGGTCGAGCAAAGCCGTCGTACGGCGATATGCAGCGGTTAAATGATAAAGAGACCTAGAAGTTATTGGTTGAACGATTAGTGGCGGAGTTTGGCAGCCTGACGGACAGGTATCCGGAAACGCAAAAATTCTGTGCCACGAAGCTGGGACCTGACAGAGACCTGTAAGTGTTGGCGGTGAAGCTGAAAGATTTACCTCGTCGTTTACCCCGCATATTGGATGAAGAGTCAGTGTCGCAGTTACTGACCTCCCAGTTGAATTGAGAGTGTTCCAGACAACATTCCTCAGCAACTACAACTGGTTAACTCTGCATAATCTATGGACAATGATGATTTAGCAAAGGTGACGACTCGACAGCTGTAGAGCACAACGGTAACTGCAATAGAGGCACCAAAAAGAACTAGTGGGAACAAGCAATCACAGATTTGCAGCAGGAAGTAGCGGTACTAAGAATGAGCGTCAGAAGAGACAAGTGCTTTGGATTCGGCGAAATGGGATACTGGAGGAAATGTTGTCCGGAAAGACAGGAAAATAAAAACGATATAATGTGTCTTCTTTTACTGTGATAAGACTAGAAGTAATAGGGGTGATCAAGAGTGGGTTAGTGTATTCTAGAATGGTAGTAAATAATCAAAACGCTGTATGTCCAATAGATACGGAGGATGGCAGTGTCACTTATAGATGCTAATCTATCTCAGACCTCTGTTCATTGGCAATCCAGACTGTAGGAGGTCACGTGTTAAGGGTCACAGACATTTCCAACTGCAACGTTCACATCAGCAGTCGCAAAATAACCTTCCCATTCACTTTTGTGCCTCAGTTACGGCAAATAATCCTGAGGGCTGATTTTCTGAGAGAAGTAAGCGCCGTAATTAACACGAAGGAGTAGACTGTAACTACAAGGTACATATCTATCAGCATGCATGAGAACAGTGAGACAGAGATGGAGACGTTGAAAATGCAGAGTACTAGCCATGTTAGTTAGAAAATGAGATCCTCTATTCATGGGAGATAGAGACCAGCATGATTACTGTGTCAAGGTGAAGCATGAAATCCCTGTGACTGGTCGGCAAGTGACAACATTCACAACACGAGGGGTTCTGTGCCATTTGGATGGAGCGTCTCTTTATATAATACTGATAGGTCTCGTCAGCACCACACACCACAATAGTAATGTCTTTCTGTTTTCAATATAGAACTTTGTATAGATGTGCAGCAGTTCAAGTCGCCACACTCCTTCCATGTAGCACACAAAGCAAGAGAAGAAAGTAAAAAGAAACACAAAATAGAGACAGTAAACAGAGATATGAGGCAAAAAGAATAATAATAATATCGAAGAACAATATAGTTTCATTGGAAATTATAATTCACAAGGAGTGGATACATCTGCGGCAACCATTGACAACGATTTTTAGCCATATCACGGATTGTCTCCAGCATTCATTGGTTCTTACCGTCCCTAAGACACCAACCAGTCAGGAAGCCGGTCTACAGCTTCCTACGTACTTAACTAACTGTTGATTCATTGACTGTGCCATGTTTGGTGACCATGGCTTTTCACTCCTATGTACCTAAATTGCCTCGAGAAGCGATGATAGCATCGTAACACATGTCCTAACCAATTCAGTTCATGTAACTCCACAGCCTCGTCTATGGATTTCCCCTCCCACCTTACCTAGCACTCGACGCCTAACCTCAATATTGCTTCACACGGGAGATAGAACGCAGACACCTATGATCAAAGACAGCTAATCTTTTCATGTCTTCCACTCTCAATGGCCAGGTCTCACCGCTGGCCATAAAGGAGGACGGAGCGGACTGTTGAGCAGTACACACGCCCTTTGGTCGATAGTCGGATATCACGTCTACTAAGCCAGAGACGGCGTAAACTGGCATATGCGAAACTAGCCCTCTGTATCCGTGCTGAGATTTCATCAGCGATCAACCCGTTGGGGCTGATGGTACTTCCCAAGTAAGTGAAGCGGTCAACGTGCTCTACCACTTCACTTCCTATTTCTAATCTAGGGGTCGGTGTAGTCCAATCCTGTAACATCATCTTGCATTTGGCGGGAGCGAATCGCATGCCAAACATTCGCAGATTGCAGTTCAAGGTGTTCAGAAGACTCTGCATTTTGTCAGCGTTTTCACTCACGTGGGAGGACTATATCATCTGCATATTCTAAGTCAACGAGATTATTCCCTGATGGTAAAAATTCAATCCCTGAGTCTCTGAAGTGATTTAGTATTAAGTCCATTAGTACATCTATGATGAAATTGAATAGAAATGGGGATAGTGATAGGAGGAGGAGAAGTAGAAGGAGCAGGTGCATGAATAAGAGTAATTGTAGGCATAAGAGGAGAATTGGGAGTAAGAGCAGTACTAGGAGTAGTATTAGTAGTAGTAGTATTAGTAATAGTAATGCTGAACTTACTTTAGCTCTGAGTATATCCAATTGTATTTCCATAGCAGATATATTTGACTTTTGATTGGTTAATTGATATTCTAATCCTTTTAATTGTTCATCTTTTTGATAACTTTCTCTCAGTGCTAATTCACGTTCTCCTCTCAGAGTAATACACTGACGTGTTAGCTCATCCTTCTCTTTATCATGTAATACTTTTTAAAAAACAGAATGGAACAAATAAAAACAGTTGAAAATACATGGAGAAAACAAATGAAGAATTAATTTATTTTTAATTTTCGTTAAGTACTTTTCAGATGGCTGATTCAGTCACTAGTCACTGACTGACTGGCTAACTGCCTTAATGCCTGAATTATCTTCTCATTCGGACTTCACTTGAAACCTGCCCTGGTGCACGATGTCATTCAACAGTCTTCTTGGCATATGTCAAGACTTTTCGGCGATTCCATTTTCAAAAGCTGTATAATCGCATTTATATAGATAATTTTACACGGATACAATTCTTGTTTGATTCTACATAATTACGACGGCGAATAAAAGGTGATAATTATTTCCAACTAGATATGGTTTTTACGAGAGGCTTAGAAACAAAATTACACAGGATTAGAACGGATAACAAGTGTGTAAACATGAGCATGGAAACGAAATTGAAATAATAATTTATCAACTTGAGATGGGAATCAGGAGGTGTGAATATAGATTACAAGAGCCTTAGAAACTAGTCCAACCTCTACAACTACCATGGACTTAGTTCGGTATGTTTCCTTAACTTCCATTTTTTTCTTTCCTTCTCTTTTTTCTTTTTGATCCTTTTTCGTTCGCTATGTGTGTGATTCTTACTCCCTCAGTCTTCATTCGATTCATCCCATTTTTTCAGTTATAAAAACAGTTATTTTAAGTTTGTTTCCATGCTTTTCCTGTTCACATTTATAATTCGTTTTAAAAAATTAACAATTATATCTTAATCCTGTGCAATTGTTGTGTTTCTAAGGCACTTGTAATCTATATTCACACCTCCTGATTCCCATCTCAAGTTGAAAAATTATTATTTCAATTTCGTTTCCATGCTCATGTTTACACACTTGTTATCCGTTCTAATCCTGTGTAATTTTGTTTCTAAGCCTCTCGTAAAAACCATATCTAGTTGGAAATAATTATCACCTTTTATTCGCCGTCGTAACTATGTAGAATCAAACAAGAATTGTATCCGTGTAAAATTATCTATATAAATACGATTATACAGCTTTTGAAAATGAAATCGCCGAAAAGATCGTCATCTTTGCTGGACTTCGTGTTCTCTTCTTTCTAGTGTCTATATGGGTGTTTTCCACGAATTGTCAAGACTGTCTGCATTTTCTTCGGATTTATTTTTTGAGAAGTAGGTTCATGAGTGATTCGTTCCTAGAGTTTATGTGTTGCTCATTCTTCCTGGCCGGTCATCTAGTCATAAGAAAAAGGCGTAAACAGTGAAGAAAATTCTTCCTTTGTGACGATGCATTTTCATAAGCTGTACAATCGTAATTATTATTATTTACTGGTAAATAATACTGTTTCACTGGGTGATACATCTAATAAATAAACTAATATGAGGCAGAGCTTGGCATGATGTAATGAGTGGGAGATAATGCCTAATCAATAAGCTCGTGTAGAATGGACAAAAACTAGTGGAAGGGCGATAAATTGTTTTTATATAAAATCTTTTAGAAAAAGCAATCTTATTAATAAACTGTAATAGAGTGGTAATAAAATATGGATGATGCGAATAATAATGATAATGAAATAATAGTAGTAATAACAATAATAATAATAATAGCGAACTTACATAATAAGAAAAAGAAGAAGCGAAATTATAGTAAGAACTTTACTCTGGCCATGGTAGGGCGAGAGAATGTATGTATCGCTTTTGAATGCACAGGTTTGGTTTCAGATCTCGGATGGCTAATGCTTCAGCTATGTACAGATGGCGTATACGAAGTCCGTTTGTACGATATTGGAGGTCTCTGTGTAGCATTGTGAAGCATTCATACGAGGGTGCTGCATGTCCAGAGATGACAAGGCGTTCGAGGATGTAGCTGCTGTTATTATTCTTTTCTCCTCGGGCTGGCTAACGAAGCCGGACAGTGTTCCAGAATACGTTTGTGGACTTGACGTTGCGTATGGCCTATATACTTTGCTCCACACAGCAAGTAAATTGATAAATACACATGGAAGTGGCCAAATGCGGTATGTTATCCTTAACGTTAGACTGGATTAACTGTCTGCTGAAGAATGTGATACGTAAGGTGGCTGTTGGAAATGTCTTCTCCAGACATTTGAAAAAGCGGTTTCTAAGAATTCCCTCTGCGATGTCACCTTTGAATTCCAAGTTTATCTAATCTTCAGTATGAAGTGGAGTCGGTTGCTAGTAAAAGTTTTCAACAACTTGTTGAAATTGCTAAGCATGACTCTGTAAGTTTCCTAGCCATTTAGAAGAACTGACTGACTTAACATTGGTGTTGGTAACTTGGGCAACTCTCCCAGGTTATTCACTGTCCAAACATTCCACGTCCACATCGTTATTTTCTCTTCCACTGAAATGGGAGATACATCAGCTGAATGGTTTTCCGAAAGCTTTAATCAGTCTACATCATTCCGTCTTTCCGATTGCAGCGAATAATAAGTTTGCTTTTATGCTCTTTTTGCGTTTTGAAGTTTCTGTAAAGACTGAATTGATTTTCCGGGGTAATCGCGCTGACTCCACGCACAATCTTTCCTCTTTCCAGGCTTAGAACCGGCTAGAAAGCTAGCTAACTAGTGAACTAGGTAAGGTTTTTCAATCTAGAACTCCAGATTAATCCTTACGACTCACGTGTATCTCTGTTTATTATAGTTTTTAGAGATTTCAGACTTTTATTTTACGAGTTTGACCACGGATTGATATCAGTTAGAGAACCATTGATAACCAGGAAATATTGGACAACTGTTTCATACTAGTTTGGGAATCATCAGCAGTATGCATTCACTGCCACGGTTCGAATCCAGGACCTTCCTGTTACATGGCAAGCTCGTATACCATTCATCCATTGGGAACCGATTCCTCAATGGCTAGCCCATGAATCCTAACTTCCACCAATTTGTGATTTAGCGCAACTGACACCAACCAATGTCATCTGTGGGACATCCATCCTCACAATTGACTGAATGGACCTTACTGGTTACGACCTCTCACTAGAACTCCAGGAAACGCCATTCTGTAGCAAGTCACAACGTTTGTGTCTTGTTTATGAAGTAATTCAACTTGAGCATACTTCACTCATGTGTAAAGTTCTTTGTTTAAAATTCAATCAATCACTCATACATGAGGCGATTGACTGTCAGTTTAAAAATTAATTGTTTTGCTTTTTCTATTAAAGTACACATTTTAAGTATACTTTGTTCGATTCATAAAGCATTTTTTTTAATGTGAAAATGTTGAACTTTAAGACTTGTGCTTGATTATGGTTACCATGGTTACTAATATGAACTAAATAAAAAATATATAACAAAAAATAACCTCCAAATCTATAAAAACAAATACATTACTATAGTTACATTTATCTTCGAAATATATGTGTCATTCGGTAAAGATAGTTAATTGTTGACATGCATTTGTTTCACGCTGAAGTTAAAGGAAAACTCCAGTTTGAAACGTGTTACTTATTTTTTTTAAAATTAGTCAGTTTTCTAATTAAATTGAAAATCTAAAACGTAATTATAGTAGTCATAAGCATATTCGTGTGTGCTTTAGTAGTTCAACGGTAGAATAATAAATGACCACACTTCACCTGGTCCAGGTTTCACTCCCTGACCGATGCACTCCTAAACCTCATTTCACTGATAGTAAGGCCGGTAAAGAGGTAAGATTGGGAGTGAGACAGTAGGTCATAAGGCGAAGTTAAACTTTAGGCACCACTAACTACCAGGGGGGTGAGACCGCACAAATGACCCTGAAACGCTCACTGAGCAAATCAGTGAAATCCGGCCAATAATTTTTTCATAATCACTGAAAGATTCTCATCGAAGTGTTATGCTGTGACAAAGGTTATCTGGCAAGTGTCAGCTTAAGTTTGGGGAAGACTAAACATGGAATGGCAATCAAACCTCTAACTCAACTTAACAGAATTTAAGTAGGTGTTGACCACAAAGCAATTTGGAAACTACTCGAGTACTACGGCGTGCCCCGAATATTCATCAACCTTATTCAACAGCTTTACAACAACGGCACATGTCAAGTCATCCACTACGGAAAACTCAGAGAGGCGTTTAAAGTAAACACAGGAGTCAGACAAGGGTGCTTATTATCACCAATGATATTCCTAATTGTGGTGGACTGGATTATGCGTCAGACAGTGGGAAACGAGAAGACAGGGATATCCTGGACCGACGTGAAGAACCTACAAGACCTGGAATTCGCGCGTGGATGGTTTATGTCTGATGTCACACAAAATCGAAGACTTACAAGCGAAAACCGACAAACTGGTCGAAGAGGCTGGCAGCAAAGACACGACTCCGGGTGAACAAAGACAAGACGGAGGTCATGAAAATAACCAACCAACAACAACAACAAAACAGCAGCAACATCCAGCGCCAATCACCATCAACGGGAGGGATTTGAAAGAGGTTACTTCATTCACTCACTGATCTAGGGAGCATTGTCTCAACTACAGGAGGGACGGACGAGGATGTCAAATCGAGCGAGAATCGGGAAGGCGAGAAACACATTCATCAATCTGAAACCAATCTAGAAATCTTCCGCTGTCACTCACTCAGCATCAACAACAAAATTCGTGTTTGCAATACAAATGTCAAGTCAAGTCAGTTCTTCTCTTCTATACGGATCAGAAACTTGGCAGCGGGTGACAAAGAATATTTCCAACAGCCTGTTGCAGACCTTCTTCTGATTTCATGATTCAAAATTACAAATTGAAATGTTTGACCATTACTCAGTTATGTAGAATAATAGATCTTTAACTCTAAACTATAGCAGCCTTAAACGAAACTACCTAATGAAGACCTTGACTAATCTCTATCGACCAATCCGATGCGTCCGAAGCAGAATTGTATTATTTGAAAGAGATGTTTATTTATATAAAAGTATTGTAACGTTAAAAAGTAGTTTCATAGAATAACTTCCTTGTATGTTTTAAAACAATTAGCTTCCTTTATGAATTTAGAT